TGTGCAGAGCAACGCAGTGCCCCCCAGCATCCCTCCTGGAGCAGGATGGGACCCCACTCACCTTCCTCCTCCCAGCCCTCTGCCACTCCTGCCAGCTCGTAGTGCTTCTTGCGCAGCTCTCCCAGCTTCTGCCGCTCCTTCTGCAGCTGGTTCTCCAGCTCCAGCACCCGCACCTGAAGGACACCGTGTGCCATGGCCACCCATCCACGGCACGGAGCCATGCAGGGCCGCGCACCCCCATTTCACACCCGTTATCTCCCCTGTGTTGAGCCCCAAGCCCACCGAGGTACATCCCATGCGTGCTCAGATGGCAAGTGGTCCTGGGGAAGGGATCAAGTCTGGGTGGGGGAAGGCAGAGCAACTGCGTGAGCACCCCGGGATGGGGAATGCTCCAGGGTGGAGGTGGGTGCTGTGGGACAGCCCAGGGACATGCAGGAGCAGAGGGTTGCCATGGGCTGTTGTGCCATGATGGGGACGATGCTGGGGAAGGCTCGAGCTAACTGCACATGGTTTCTCGGTGAACCTGGTTGTTACCTTCATCCCTTGGGCCTTCCTTGCGAGCTGGCGGTACCTGGGGCCAGGCAGCTGGGCAGGGTGCCCCCACCCACATCTACCCCAGCCCAGGCATGCTCTGGTTAGCCCAAAGGAGGCACCAGCAGGTGCATTTCCCAAAATGCAGGGGAACCTCCTACCTGCGAGTCCATCTCCTGACGCTTGATCTGGGTGAGCGTCATGCTGGAGAAGTCCATGCTGTCTGTGGAGGAAGACACCACCAGTCCCCCTCAGACTCCGCTCGGTTTCCCCGGCAGCTCCCAGGGGATGTGCAGGCAGCGAGGGGCAGCCGCAGGCAGAGGCCAGCAGGGCACAGCCAACTGAAAGCGCCAAATGGGACGAGCAGAGGCTTTGGGGCAGGGCTGTGCTCCCATAGTCCCACGCTTACCTTTCTCCTCCACCTGCGACTTTCCAGCCTTGGTGGAGGCCACCACGCCGGCCGTGGCCTGGTTGACGCCCCGAGAGGCTTGTTGGAGCTTGCAAAGGTTGGCGCTGTCTTTGTCTGCCTTCACCTGCCGGGACAGCGAGGACAGGGGTGCTTACGCTCTGCCGAGTGAGCAGACCACCCCCATGATTTGGGATCACCCCAAACCACATCTCGGGGAGCAGCCTCACGGCTGCCTGCTCGGGGATGGAGCACCCAGATGCAGGCGGTGGTGGTGGAGTGCAGGGCTCCTACCTTGGAGGCTGCGACCAGTTGGGCCGTGCTGGCCGCGATCTCCCGGGAACAGACCATCAGCTCCTCGAACGTCCCCTTGCCTTGGACCACCAGGTCAGCGGCATCGCTGTGAGAGGACAGAGAGGGGTTGGAGCATCCTCCTGCCACCCTTGTCCCCTCCCCAGGGGGACAGTAGGACCTTGCCATCCTCTCCTCCCTCCAGTGACAGTGGCACTTACACCATGACAGTGGCACCCCAGCCCACGGCCTTGGAGGCGGAGATGAGACCCTCGGTCCAGCGCGAATTCTTGGCGTAAAACTCCTTGGGAGACGCAGCACCCTGTGTTAGGAAGGGCACGGTCAGGAGTTGGGGATGGGAGGGAGGCAGGGCCTAGGACCTCCACACCCCTGCTCCTGGGAGTCAGGGTTTCATATAGGGACGTGCATGGAAGCTGGGGAGACCCCGAACCCAGGGCAGGGTCACAGGGTTCCCTATGCAGGAAGGGAGCTCAGGGACCGCTGTGACACCCTGGGGACCCCAGTCAGGGTGAGACCCTGAGGCTGGGGCGGGAGCTTCTTGCAGCTGGTGTTGATGCCCCAACGGGCCAGGGCTGGGAGCAGCACGTGGTGACCCCCGGCTGGGCAAGCATCCCCCGCCCCGCCTGCACCCCTGCCCCTGACTCACCCGTCCACTCTCCACGATCTCTCTCTGGAGGTCCTTGGAGGCCAGGACCAGGACGTGGATGGCCTGCATAAGGCCTGTGCAGGAGCCCAGGATCCTGCGAGACAAACCCCACTGAGCCCTGCTTGTGGGGCAGGGAGACCCGAGAGCCATGGCGCTTTGCCTACAGCACCGGCTCCCACCCTGCCTGCCCAGCTCCCTCCCACCCCTCGGCCACCGCTCACCTCTCATTCACTTCCAGTTTGACGCCAGTGTCACCAGCCCGTGCCTTGCTCAGCATCTCCTGGTAGAGGGGGGAGAGGCTGGGCTGAGCTCTGCGCACAGCTCTGGCCCCGTGCTGGTGGTCCCTGCTGGCACAGTGCTAGCAGGTACCTCATGGCACATGGTGATCCTCACCTCAATGCGGGCGGCCGCCGTTTCAATGGCTGGCGCCGTTGTCGGCCTCCCTTTTAATGGCTGCCGCTGTTGCTGCCATCTCTTTGTCCACCAGGTCACCCAGCTCCTCCTGCTTTATGTCCAACCCTTTGGGTCGCAGCTCCTGGGGACAGGACAGGACAAAAGGCATCATCCAGGGGTGGCACAGCCCCTCTGGTGGTGCCCACCATGGCCCAACCCCATTCCACCAGCCCTCCTGGGGCACTCACCTCCCCGATGGTGCTGATCTGGCTCAGGAAGGTCATCACCAGGCTGCAGTTGGCGCCTTTCACCGTCCCTGGGTCTTGCAGGGCGCTGAGGAAGCTGACGGCCTCGCTGCCGCACTGCTTGCACATCTCCAGCAGACCTGTGCAGGTAGCACCCCAGGGTGATGGTGCCGCACATGAGGACAGAGATGCCCCTGCCCACTCCAGCATCCTCCCCATGCTGGTCCCTGAATTCTGCCCACCTCAGCGTCCTGCCCACCCTGAATTCTGCCTGTGCTGGCCCCTGCTTGCCCCCAAATTCTGCCTGTTCCAGCTCCTGCCTGTCCCGGGCCCCTGCCCACTCCGCCGGGCGACTCACGGTCAGCAGGCTCCATGGGGGCCACGTGGGAGGTGGCGCTGCCCTGCAGGAGGGTGTCACTGACGAGGTGGGCGAAGAGGGCCAGGCAAGGCAACAAGGAGCCCATGGCTGCTGCGGGAGAGGGGACACACGCCTCAGCCCCAGCCACCGCTGCCTGCCCGGCCCGCTGCTGCTGGGCCTGCCCCCTTGCCCCAGCCCTGTGGCTCCCACCTGCGCCATCAGCAAGGGATT